TTGGACCATCTCTGTCACAGCAGGAAAATTTCCTTGAATTTAAAAGAAATGTACCGTTGCTCTAATATTTTATACGACTAGATTTAGAGGAAAGATGGCAAACTAAATGGCTACTGGGCTCAGGCAGATAATTTAAATGAGAGGCACGGATCAGGTGAGAGGCAGTGGTAGGTGGTGGGAACAGCCTGAGAGAATAGAAACTTGGTGATTCCAGACCTTCCGATTCTTCAAGAGAAGCCAGAACATCAGTTTTTCTTTTCTTAATAAACATTATTTTTGTGGCCCAATCTTAGATTTATTTTAAAAAATTGCGAAGATAGTACAGAGAGTCCCCATCTACCCTGCACCCAGTTTCCCCTGTTGTTTTTCATGAGTATTATACTTTGGTTACAGTTAATGAAGTATTGATACCATGTTATTTATTCAGACTTCTTTAGTGTTTACCCAACGTCCTATTTCTGTTCCAAGATCCCACCCAGGTCCCACATTACATTTAATTGTCATGTCTCTGTAGGCTCCTCTTGACGGTGACAGTTTCTCAGACTTTCCTTGTTTTGAATGATTTTGACAGTTTTGAGGAGCACTGGTCAGGTAGTTTGTGGAATGTCCCTCTATTGGAGTTTGTCCAATGTTTTTCACATGACCAGGCTGGGGTTATGGTTTTGAGAGGAAAACCACAGGGGCCAAGTTTACCTTGGTCACCGGGCTGAGGTAGTGTTTGTCAGGTTTCTCCATATAAAGTTACTTTTTTCCCTCCTTTTCCACAGTGTGCTCTTAGGAAAGAAATCACCATGCACAGCCCACACTTAAAGAGTAAGGATTTATGTTCCATCTCCTTGTGGGATAAGTATCTACATACATTATTTGGAAATTTGTCTATTCTCTCCAAATTGTTTATTTATTCGATAATTTATTTATTTTTAAAAATACATTTATTTATTTATTTATAGCTGCGTTGGGTCTTTGTTGCTGCGCGCGGGCTTTCTCTAGTTGCGGTGAGCAGGGGCTACTCTTCGTTGCGATACATAGGCTTCTCATTGCGGTGACCTCTCTTTGTTATGGAGCACGGGTTCTAGGCGCGGGAGCTTCAGGAGTTGTGGCTCGTGGGCTCTAGAGTGCAGGCTCAGTAGTTGTGGCACACGGGCTTAGTTGCTCCGCGGCATGTGGGATCTTCCCAAGCCGGGCATCAAACCCACATCCCCTGCATTGGCAGGTGGATTCTTAACCACTGTGCCACCAGGGAAGCCCCTAAAATCATAATTTTTTTATAGACGGGTTTTTAAGTCTTCATGGGAGGGATCAGCCTGCATTCAGTCTTAGCTTTTAAGGTAAGTTGATCAAGTGTGGGTCCCAAGGCGGGGAGGGCAAGTTCTTGCTAATTAACAATCATCATTTTGGTGAGCTAACATTTTTCTGGAGCAGTAGGAGGAGCAGTGAGGCAATGGATCAAGGGGCTTAGGAAGAGGAGCCTTAGGGACCAGGCCACTTAGGGCCACAGTGGACATTCTTAGTCCTTACATGTCCCTCACACTGCCCAGAACAGTGAGCGGGTCAACCACATAACAGGGCAACAGGGACATCCTGAGGTGGGTATATAAAGAAGATGGACAGGACATTGGAAACAAATCACTGGCAGTGGAGCCAGTGTCAAATCTGGGGTGACACCAATGACCCAGTCCAGAGTGCCTGGCTTAGTGCTGCTGTCCCTGTGGAGAACTTCCCAAGCAGGAGGGTGTTTCCGGGAGATGTGCACTGGTAAAAATGAAGCTGGAGACCCTGGTGGAGATGCAGATGTCAGGTGTGGGTAGTTCATGGTCAGGTCACATGCCCTCTCCTGCCCTGCTTGGAGGGACAGGAGAGAAGCCAGTGGATGGGTGCAGTGTGTAGATGAACCATTCTCATCAAAGCCCTGGCAGTAGTGAGCCCTTGTGGAAGTCCCTCAACCTCTCTGAGCTGGACACCCCTCCTTTCATAAATGGCAATAATAATAACTGAATCACAGCACTGGTTTGGTTGGGTAGATAAATGGAGTCAGTCACAGGAAAGTCATCAATATTGGTTACCAGAGAAAAGATAATCCTGTCCATCATCACGGGGCTGGGGTATGAGCAGGGCTTCTGGTGTGGGGATCGGCTGGAAGAAGTGTCAGGATGGACAAGGTGTTCTTTCAGTCCCCAAACCTGGGTGGGGGGCAAGGGAGGAGTGAAGTGACCAGACTCCCAATATCCTGAACCAGGCAACCTGGCATTGAAGCCCAGATCCCTGTCCATTTCTGGGAGATCACAAACAGATGACACATCATCTCTGTGCCTCAGTTTCCTCCTTAGAAAGGGTCCGTTAGCTGCACAGGTTCTTCTTACTCTCTTACCACCTGAAACTCCTCCAACATCACTGCCGGCCATATGTGCAATATTCATAAGGCCCTTTCTCCAGTGTGAACTCTCTGATGTTTAATCAAGTGGCACCTTTGGGTGAAAGATTTACCACATTCCTTGCACTCAAAAGGCTTTTCTCCACTGTGGATTTTCCTATGGATGCAGAGGAGCTGTCTTTGCTTAAAGGCTTTCCTGCATTCAGTGCACTCATAAGGCGTTTCTCCAGTGTGAACTCTGTGATGATCATAGAGAGAGGATCGAGTAGTAAAAGATTGCCCACATTTACTGCACTCATAAGGCCTTTCTTCACTGTGAACTCTCTGATGACAAAGAAGGCTAGAGCTACCAGTAAAACATTTCCCACATTCACTGCAGTCATAGGGCCTTTCTCCACTGTGAATTCTCTGATGATCACAAAGTCCTGACCTAGCAGTAAAAGATTTCCCACATTCACTGCAGTCATAAGGCCTTTCTCCACTGTGAACTCTCTGATGATATTGGAGGCCACTCCTAGCAACAAAACATTTTCCACATTCACTGCACTCATAAGGCCTTTCTCCACTGTGAACTCTCTGATGATACCAGAGGCTACTCCTGGCAACAAAAGATTTCCCACATTCACTGCACTCATAAGGCTTTTCTCCAGTGTGAACTCTCTGATGTGCAAGGAAATTGGATTTGTGGGCAAAAGATTTTCCACACTGGGTGCATCGGTAAGGTTTTTCTCCAGTATGAACTCCCTGATGTTCAATTAAGATGCACTTTGGGATGAAAGATTTAGCACATTCCTTGCATTCATAAGGCTTTTCTCCACTGTGGATTTTCCTATGTGCTCTGAGGTACTTCCTTAGGCTAAAGGATTTCCCACAGTCACTGCAGTCATAGAGCCTTCCTCCACAGTTAACTCTCTGATGTCCAAGGAGACCAGATTTGTGGCTAAAATATTTTCCACAATGGCTGCATTCATAAGGCCTTTCTCCAGTGTGAACTGGCTCATGCTGAATAAAGTTACATGTTTGGGTGCAGGCTTTCCCACGTTTGCTGCACTCACAAAACCCTTTACTAGTAAGGACTCTCTCATCCTGAACAAGTATTACTGTGTGGCTGGAGGCTTTCTTGCCTTCTCCCCAGCTGTGATGACCTGTTCCACTGTGAAAAACAGCTTCACACTCCTTACTGTTGTTCGGTTTCTTCCTGGTATTTGTGGCCTGTGGCTGAAGTCCCATGTTGGCCACGAAGTCGTTCCCAATCTCCATGTAGGTAGGTAGATTCCCTATTGTGTGGATTGTGCAGCTCTTCCAAAATGAGGGTCTCCCCACATCATATCACATGGGATTCTCTCTAATATGCGGCTTCTGGTGCTCTTGAAGGTTTGCAGTGAAATAGAATTGTGTCCCGCATGCCCCACATATGTATGCTTTCTGCCCCCTATTTGTTCCTTGCTCCTCAGCCAAGTGCAAAATGTCTCTCAAGACTGGGGTGCACATCTTACAGGGCTGGGTCTTCTCAGGAGACAAACCTGCCCTGGGGGTCCTCATCTGTGACACTCCTTCTGCAGATATGCTCTGTTCAGAAGGTGTCTCTTCATCCTCAACTCCAGGAAAAGAACCTGCAGGAATTCTCTGGCAGTCCAGTGGTGAGGAGTCAGAGCTTTCACTGCTTTAGCCTGGGTTCAATCCCTGGTCAGGGAACTAGTACACTGCAAGCCTGAATCCTTAGCTGCAACCTTGGGGCTACTGGTGTTAAGGCACTAAGGAGTAGGGATGCACTCTGGCTAGCCATAGTAACCACAGCACATGACCAAGAAGTTGAAGAAGAAAGCAGTATCCATGGTCCAGATGTGAGAATGACACAGCAGCCCCTAGGGAAAAGGAGAAAGGCAGAACCTAGCTCAGAGGATAGGGGTGGGTGTGAGGGCCTTACCCAGCATGCATACAAGTGCAAAGTTCTCCACCATGACATCAAGGTACAGGTGTATCTGAACCTCATCAAGAAGACACTATTCCTCCCAGGAGAAGTACACGGCCACATCTTCAAAGGTCACACTGCCCTGAGGTGGGTCCGTCAGCGCAGGCACCGCCATCAGATCCTTTGCGCAGAGCGGAGCGGTGACAGTCCAGCAACCGGGTCAGACTCGGCATGGTTACTCCCCACCTATTCAAGAATTTATATCTATGTAGGCTTCTAGATATTTAATTTATACTTTAGGTTGTACTTCAGTAAGACTTTATTTTATTGTTCAAATTGTTCCAGCTTGTCCTATGGGAGCTCTTTCAGTTTGCTCCTGTATTGTGTGATGTAATATTAAGATTGTATTGTATGAATATTGTATGATGTGACTGGTGGGCAGTTTTGTGAAAACAAATGAAAAATTAAAATGTACACCAAATCTACCAAACTCAGACTGGAGTTGTCAGTCCATGATATTTCTAATAGTGTTCTAGAAACCTATACAGAAATAAATCGCTCCCTAAGAAAATCGAGGTATCTCCTTTTGGCCACCAGGAAGGGTTCATTTTGAATAAAGTGCTGGAGAGAGACTTGCCCTAAGAGGAGGCTTTGGTATCTCACCAACCCTGAATTTCAGGCGCTTTGCCTTAACCCTGTGTTTTCTGGATCTTTCAGCTTAGGCGGGTGTTTGGAAATTGCCTGCCACCCTTTCCACCAAAGTACTATCTCGCAATGACTGCATCTATGGCTGATGAGAGAAGGGACCAGTTGGAACAGTATTTGCAAAATGGTATGTATTTGCATTTTTTAAAACAGATTTATCGAGATGTGAAAGTCACCCATTTTATATATATACTCAGTGGTTTTTAGTATATTTACAGGATTGTGCAACCATCACCATAATCTAATCTGAGAACATTTTTACCACCCCAAAAAGAAATTTTACACCTATTATCAGTCAATCCCTGTTTCTCTCCTCCACCAGCCCCTGTCTTTATACACTAATTTATGCCTTTATACATTTGCCTGCTCTGGATATTTCATGTAAATGGAGTCATACAATATGTGGTCTTTGTATCTGGTTTAAAAATGCTTTGTTTAGATTCACCACCCCGCAGCCCCTGCCCCCAGGGGCTCTGTGTTGGCTTTGATTGTAGAAGTCAAAAAATATCTCTGGATTAAGACTGAACAAACGGATAAAATGAACTGCTTACATGAAAGCTCTCAGGAGATAGCGGAGATGTTTACTGGCAGTGCCAGAGTTGGTTATTCCATCTCTGTCTTCCCCAGGAGCCATGCTAAGGTACCAGGGACACTCGGAGGTCTGCTCTGGCCCTGTGAGGCTGGCAATACAGAGGTCCTGGCCCACTGCTGGGCTCCTGAAGAGTGTTGTGCACAACAGGACTGAGCTCTCACAAAGAGAAGGGGGTGGGGAGAAATAGAAACATTGGCATTCAAATATTTAAAGGTTTAAAAAGGGGGAAATGGTATAGACATAAAATGTTTTAAAAATATAACCCGTCCAAAGAGTATAAAATGAAAGGTACATTCCCTTCCACCTCAGATTCCCAAGCCTCTAGAAGAAAACACTATTACAAGTGGCTTGTGTATTTCTCAGAAACCATCATGTGTATTCTAGTGTGTGGGTACATCCCTGTTGGTTAAACACAAATTGAAACTTACCTTATACACGTTTCTGTATCTGAGTATTTGAAACTTTTATTCTGAAAGAATTTCTGATTTACAGAAAAGTTGCAAAATTGATGCAAAATTTTCTGTATTCTCTTTACCCAGATTTCCCAAATGTTAACATTTTACATTTGCTTTATCATTCTCTCTCACTTTCCCATGTCTCTGTTTGTATTATGAATGTGTGCATACATATATATTATATATAATTTTTTGAGATGCTTGTTTTGCAGATACAAGCCAGTTTACCCTTAAATACATCTATGTGTATTTCCTAAGATTGAGGACAACTCTTCTGTAACTACTGTATAGTTATCAAAATCAGGCAATTAGCATTGATATAATAATGCTATCTAATATAGAGACCTTATTCAAACTTCACCAACTACCCCACTAATGTCCTTCATAACAAAAGAAAAAAAGCTTTTTCTTCTGTATGCTATTTTATTCCTTTTAAAATATTACTATTACAGGTCATTCTAGGTGAGGGATTATAGATTTACCTCATTATTTCTCAGGGCTGCACATATTTTTTTTAAACATAGTAAATAGAAATTCTAGAAGTCATCTATTTTCCATTCATCTTTTGTAGTGGAGACTATACCACTTTTAGACCTGTTAAATAAACCCTTTCAAGCTCAAAGTGTAATATCTTTTGAATTTTCATTCCTTCTTGGTTTGTGTTCTCATATCTTCATGAAATACTCCTTTTAACAGCTGGCCTTTTCACAAATGATCACACTGCTTAAAGGGTCACTTCTCCAGGCCTGGCCTTTATCTGTAGTCCGGATGCTTCGTGAATCCTCTTGGAAGGTAAAGGAAGGAGGCAGTGTAGCATAGTGCTGTGACTGTGAACACAGGCTCTATTCAGACCTAGAGTCAAGTCCCAGGTTTGCACCTCACTGGCTGTGTGACCTGGGGCAAGACACTTACCTTCTCTGAGCTTCAATGCCTTTATCTGTAAAATGGAGATACTAGTTACTTTAGGTAATCTTCTTTTGTTGTGAAGATTAAGTGAGCTAAAATATACCAAGTGCTTTGCGTAGTACCTGGTACTTAACAGTTGTACAGTAAATACTAGTTGGATGAACACTTTTTCAATAGCTTTCCCCATCCCCAAGGATCCACGCTAATGATTATAATGATTAGTTTGCATACACGGCACACATATTCCAGAAAATAAGACAAGAGCTTTTTCCCCCTTTAAAAAAGAGGGAGTACCTTTTATAAAAAAAAGTTTCTCCTGTTACAGAGACACTCTCTCTCTTAGTTACTTTATTTTGAAAATCATGGCATCGTTTGGGAAGCACTACCTCAGATGACCTCAGTCAGTGCTAGTTTTGAATGCTGGTAGAAGTTATTTGACAAAATCAGTAAAACAGCAACAAAAAGAAAGACATTTAATACAGATTTAGAAATTGCATAAGTTTAGCTCAAGTGCAGGGTCCAGGAGAGGACTTGTGGGGAGGAAGATAAGAAGGGAGGAAGCCGCTGAGAAGCACTCCACGTGTGAGTGTGAGGTCCTCAGGGGAGAGCCTTGGCCCATCTGCTCCGGCCACAGCGCTGGGTGTCGGTATCTGGAGCTTTAAAACTAAGGGGGACATTTTTTTTTCTTAAATTCCATATATATGTGTTAGCATACAGTATTTGTCTTTCTCTTTCTGACTTACTTCACTCTGTATGACAGACTCTAGGTCTATCCACCTCATTAAAAATAGCTCAATTTCGTTTCTTTTTATGGCTGAGTAATATTCCATTGTATATATGTGCCACATCTTCTTTATCCATTCATCCGATGATGGACATTTAGGTTGTTTCCATCTCCGGGCTATTGTAAATAGAGCTGCAATGAACATTTTGGTACATGACTCTTTTTGAATTATGGTTTTCTCAGGGTATATGCCCAG